CGTAGGCCTGAATGGGCTTCAAACAGAGTCGCAGGCCTGACAGGTACACAAAAAACACTCACTGTGCTCTCAGCCAGGCTTTTTACTCTGAATATCTGGGGAAGATGATACATCTGTATTTGTCTTTGCCAAATTTCAAATGAAATGCTTGCCTGTAATTTGGACGGGGCTGTACAAATGATTGAGTCCCTTCAGGGCATAAATGAATCAACAGCGGCTCATTCCGTGTTTGTAGCATCTTTGTTGTTCTGCTCAGGTTTAAAGCAGTGCTTGTTTTGGAGGGCTGGATGTGTTCTCTTGCACACAAGCCAAACTGATATTAGAATCTTCTAAATTGCTGTACCCAGGGACAAATCAAGATCACGCTTGACCGTTGCAAACTCCTTCCAGCAGAATGCAAAAGACTGTCTTCGTAGACATCTCACTTGAAGGTCGCCAGTTCATAAATGAAAGGGGCACTTGCATATTTTTGGAAGTGTGTCATGGATTTTAGCATTGGTTGAAACTATCCAGTCATCATGTTGATGACTCTTTCTCACTCCAAAATTCTAGTTAAGCCTCTTATCTGACACTTGCTAAAACCTGTCTGAATGGGACCCACAGTGGGGAAGGAAGTTTTGCTTTACTTTAGGAAGATCGTATGGATGATTTGAATTCATATTTACCCAAAGGCCAGGGATAGACTGGTTGGCCATCTAGAGTCCTGAACTCACCCATCCTGGGTTATAAGCAAAGGAGAAAGGCATGACGGAGCAGGAATTTATGGGCTTGAATGAAATGTGATTGAAAAATGGGTGACCCTAAAGTAGATAATATTTTATAACCTTTTATAGCTTAGGAAACACATTTATGTGTGTTACATCATTTGATGCTCACAAAACCCTCTAAATAGGATTTGGCAGCTACATTATTTTCTCTATTTTACAGAGAAGGAATCTGAAGTTGAGTGACACGCCCAGGGTCACACTAATCTATGACCAAGGTGAACATCCAGCTTTTTTGACTCCAGACAGCATAAGTGATGCGCTTTAAAGATGTCACCGTGGGAGGCTCTACATGAGTGCAATAGTGCTGTCACTGCTGCAAACAGTTCGGACCCCATAGGCCTAAGTTCAGATATTTGCCTTCAGACCCAGTTTAAAAAGTTCCCAAAGGAGAACAAAGATCATAATTTTGTGGTTGTTTGCACACAGTAGTTGACAAAAAAGATGCTTATCTTTACCCTACACCTTATTTATCACACTTGGCCATTTGGGGGTTTCAAAGAATATTCTACTACCACTGAGAACAATTCAAAAAAAAGACATTGAAAAGGATATTTTCCCCAGCACTTCCAAGCAAGTTTGTGACCTTTCCGGACTGTCCCAGAGACCCTGCCAGGACTCTCGGACCTTAAGTTCACGGGCAAGGTCAAGTGTGGGATAATCTGGTGGGGGGCTGCCACCTTGAAGCCTGAACCTCAATCAACGTTGCTGACTGGCAGCAGTGAGGGCTCATCTCCCTTGTGTGTGTGTGTGTGTGTTTCTTTTTTTTTAAGGTTTTGCCCTCTTGTATTTTAATGGCGTGTTCACACAACTGCCAATTTCTAATAAGCAGGGAGCCCCTAAAGGGCCCTGACCACCCCTTCCTCTTCTCTGGATCTCCCCTCACCCTCGGCCTTGCAGAGGCCCTAATTCAGAGGTGGTGCAGGAAAGATGCCCTTGTTCCTCAGTTCAAGGGTATCCCCAGGAACCTTATTTACAACCTGGACACTGGCTGGAAGATCAAAATAAACAAAAATGTAAGACAATCCGCGGAATACTTAATATTGTTAAGATGTCAGTACTACAAAAGTGATCTACAGATTTAATGCAATCCCTATCAAAGTTCCAATGACATTTTTTTGTTGTTGTTGCAGAAATAGAAACATCCACCCTAAAATTCATGTGGAATCTCAAGGGACCCTGAATAGCCAAAGCAACCTTGAAAAAGAACAAAGTTGGAGGGCTCTTACTTTCTGATTTAAAAACTATTACAAAGCTACAGCAATCAAAACAGTGTGGTACTGGCATAAAGTCAGTAACTTAGACCAATGGAATATAATATAGAACCCAAAAATGAACTCTCGGATACACGGTCAAATGATTTTTGAAAAGTGCCCAAGACCACTCAATGGGGAAAAAACAGTCTTTTCAATCAGTGGTGTTGGGACAACTGGTGATCTCCATGCAAAGAATAGAGTTGGACCCTTACATTACACTGCTTACAAAAATTAGGTCAAAATGGATTAAAGACCTAAATGTAAGAGTGAAAACTGCAAAATTCTTAAGAGAAAACAGGGGAAAAAACTTCATGACACTGGATTTGATAATAATTTCTTGGACATGATACCAAAAGCACAGGAAACAAAAGCAAAAATAGATAAATTGGATTATATCAAAATTAAAAACTTCTGTGACTCAAAGGACACAATCAACAGAGTAAAAAGGCAACCTATGTAATGGGAGAAAATATTAGCAAATCATATATCTGATAGGGGGTTAAAATCCAGAACATACCCCAGACTCCTACAATTCAACAACAAAAACCAAATAACCTGGTTAAAAAATGGGCAAAAGACTTGAACAGACATTTCTCCAAAAAAGACATACAAATGGCCAACAAGCACATGAAAAGATGCTCAACATCATTAATCATTAGGGAAATGCAAACCCAAATCACAATGAGATACCACTTCACACCCATTAGGATGGTTACTATCAAAAAAACAGACAATAAGTGTTGGCGAGGATGTAGAGAAACTGAAACCATTATGCACTGCTGGTGGGAATGTAAAATGGTGCAGCCACTATGGCTGGCAGTATGTATGCATATGTATTGATTCCTCAAAAAATTAAAAATAGAATTACCATATGATCTAGCAATTTCACTTCTGTGTATATACCCCAAAGAGTTGAAAGCAGGGTCTTGAAGAGCAATCTGTACATGTACATTCATAGCACCATTATTTACAATAGGCAAAAAGTTGAAGTAACCCAAGTGGCCATCAATGAATGAATGGATAAACAAAATATTATTCATCTTTAACAAGGAAGGAAATTTTAACATATGCTACAACATGAATGAACCTTGAGGACATTATGCTAAATGAAATAAGCTAGTGACAAAAGGACAAATCTGTCTGATTCCACTTATGTGAGGTACGTAGAGTAGTCAATTCATAATGACAGAAAGTGGAACAGCGGTTGTCAGGGGGCGGGGGACAGGTAAATGGGGAGTTTAATAAGTGTAGAGTTTCAGTTTTGCAAGTTGAAAAGAGTTCTGGAGATTGGTTGCAAAACTATACGAATACATTTAACATGACTGAAGTGTACACTTAAAATCGGTTAAGATGGTAAATTTTATGTTCTGTAAATATACAGAACACGATAAAATATTACCATCATTTTTTAAAAAACTAGAACAACCCTCCCAATTCCATTCTGTAAAAAAGTGGTTGATTATGTAAAAGTCTGAGCTCCTAAAGTGGTTTGTTTGGTGGGAGAAGGCTGTTTAGATTTCTGGTACATGAGTGCCCATCAGGAACCACCTGGAACTGACACAGTCCCAGGTGCTGCCACACAAATCCATTTCTCCCTGCCCATCCCCATCTTGTTGATAAAGGCTCCTGAGTTGAGATTCAGAAAGTCAGTCCTGGGGGCTAGGGCCCACCCTTGGCAACTGGGCCAGGGAATTTCTTCTCTGACTCTGGTTGCAAATAGGAAATGCAAGGGAAGGTGAGCAATTGTCCTTTGAGTATTTAGATACCATCTAAGGAAATTAATTAAAACAGAGACTCAGAAGGAGGTCAAACTAACTCCCAGGGAACACACAAGTACCATTACCCCTAATCAACGTTGCAGTGTTAGAGATGGATGGAGATGGGCCCCCCCAAATCTTAGTCCTACCAGTAGTTGTCACTTACCAGTGAGTTGGCACTTACTAGCTGTGGGGCTGTGGGCAAGTCATGTAACCTCTCTGGGCTTAAGTCATCACCTTTACCATGAAGAAAATACCTCCTCTCTCTATCTAAAAAGTTATTAAAAATATATCAAATGAAATAACATATATAAAAATGCTTTTAAAACTAGTCTAAAGAGATCTCTATATAAATATTAATTCTTGTAGGCTCTGGAATCTTTGTTTAATAAATGGGGACAATTGTTTCCCTCTTCCTTGGACTTTGTAAAATTAGAGATAATGTGTGTAAAGCGTGTAGCCCAGGACTTAGCCCAGAGTAGGCTCAATAAATGATAGGAACAATATTTTTTACTTCCTGCTGTTCCCCTGTGAGTGGCCTCCTAGTGAAGAGGCTGGGACATATATCTGATTCTGGGATGGTCATAGGGGTACATATATCTGATTCTGCCTGTCCAGCAACCTTTCTCCTTGCCTTCTTCTAAGGGCATCCTATTTTTCTTTGCGTAATTCCTTCCCTTTCTTTTAATGGTTCAGGTGTGGTGCCCATTCTCCCTCCTTTCTTCCCATCCTTGCCCTGGTCCTCCAGGCTGGACCAGGATATTCCTGGATATCCACAGTGATTGGTTCAGTGATGAGCCCAGGACCTGATAATCCAGGATAATGAAACAAAATCCTGGGTGTTTTGCTGGAGAATAGAAACACTTTTCTGTGAGATCACTTAGATGGTAGAATATAAGCCTGTAACAGGAAGAAAATGAGGCCGACACAAAGAAAGAATATCCAAGAGATGGAGAACGTCAGATCACTGATGAACAAATTTGAATACATGGATCCAACCAAGTGTGAACTGCTCTTGGAAGTTTTAGTTACTTGAACCCATAAATCCACCACCAGCGTTCCCACCCTCCACCGTTTTATTGGCATGCATGCTGAGTTTCTGCCATTTGTAATAGAAAGTTTCATTTAATGTAACTGAGGAAGGCATAGACTTCGAATTTATCCCCCAGCCTAGATGATGTCCCCTACTTTTCTTCTGCTATGATCCCCATAACAACACTCACCCTACGTCCGAACTCTTCCCCTTGCTTCACTTCCTGAGGATAGCCATCAATCAGGAAACCCTTGGTGTTTCTGAGGTTGGCCACCATGGCCTCCTTCAGGAGCTCCAGAATGATGCCCTGGAGCAGAGGGAGAGCAGTCAGGACCCAAGCTCTTCCACAGAACAACACTGGAGTCAGCACAGTTCTCCCGAGCCATCCCATCACGGGAGGGAGAGAGATAACAGTAAGATGTTGAGAACAAACTTACGGATACCAAGGAGGGAAGGGGACGGGAGTGGGATGAATTGGGAGACTGGGATTGACATATATACACTAATATGTATAAAATAGATAACTAATGAGAACCCACTGTATAGCACAGGGAACTCTACTCAACGCTCTGTGGTGACCTAAGTGGGAAGGAAATCTAAAAAAGAGGGGATATATGTATACGTATAACTGATTCACTTTGCTGTACAGCAGAAACTAACACAGCAGTGTAAAGCAACTATACTCCAATAAAAATTAGTTTAAAAAAGATTAACAGCAGGCAGCAATATACTGTATTTCATCAACTCCAAATCTCACCCTCCCCCCATTTTAATGTTTATGGAACTGGTAGGTACCTTACAGTCAGTACTGGGTCATAGTTTAATAGTGTTTTTTTCTTACCGGTATATTTTTATTGGTTATATTTTACTGAGGTGTCTAAAAATAATGACATCTTAGATTAGGTGAAATATAGTGCTATATTTCATACAGTAGCACTCCTTGAATTAGGCCTAATGCCAGTTTAAAACTAGACAAAACACAGTATAAAATGTGCTTCACTGTTGATTTGTCCCAGTAACTATTTTATAAAATTTGACACACGCTGACTTGAGGAGACTTTCAGTAGATATGAAGTAGCACTTTCTAGCAATATCACTTTGTTAAAAAATTTGCTTTAACTTGCGCTTATGGAAAATAAGGAAGGAGGGATACATGGAAGCTTAGGAATGGATGTAGGAAAATGCCACCAGCTGCCCAAACTGGGGGGAATTCCTTGTGTTCTCTGGGTCCCAGTCACCCTCTGACTTTTGGCAGGGACTGGGGGAATGCAGCCATCATAAGGGCGGTCAGAAACTATCCCTAGATAATAATGAATTAAATCTGCATGAAGCTTACATTCTAGTGAAAAAGACAGATAATAGATGAACAAGTAAATATATAGAAATAATCAGCTAGAGAGAACTACTAGGAGCAAAACTAAAGCAGGACAGAAGAAGCAGAATGTTACAGGTGCTATTTTAGATGAGGTGCTCAGCAAGGGTCTCTTTGATAAATTGTGATATTTAAGTAGAGATCTGGATGAAGTAAAGGAGCAAACTATATGCATATATGAAGGAAGAGGGCTCTGGCTAAGGAAAGAGCAAGTGCAAAGGCCCTGAGGCAGGAACAGCCTGGCCTGTGGGAGGAACAATGAGGAAGTGACTGGTTGGCTGAGAGTAAACGTGAGAGTGGTGGGGAAACAGCGTCAGAGAGCAAGCTGGAGTCCAGAGCCACGGGAAGGACTCTGGATTTCATTCTAAGTGTGGTGAGGAGCTGTTGGAAGCTTCTGGGGAAGGGGATAAACGTTTTCAAGAAATCACTCTGGCTGCTGTGAAAAGAGTAAACTGTATGGGGAAAAGAGTGGGCAGAAGGAGACCCACTAAGAGTCATCTGCAATGGTCTGTTTCCTTTCATGAGGACCATTCTGGCTTCCAGGTGGGAAACAGACTGTAGCTGGTTGAAGAGGAAGCATAAATCTCTGTTAGCTAATAGGGGCTGCATTGTAGGAGCCCTGACTACAGAGCCTAGTGTGGGGCCTAGTCTGGAAGGGATGAATGTTTTTTGATACCAGTGGCATCTAACTTCTCGTAGATGGACAGTGACTTGAAAACAAACAAAAAAAGATAAATAAAAGGGATATATATATATTTTTTGCGGTACACGGGCCTCTCACTGTTGCGGCCTCTTCCGTTGCGGAGCACAGGCTCCAGACGCGCAGGCTCAGTGGTCATGGCTCACGGGCCCAGCCGCTCCGCGGCATGTTGGATCTTCCCGGACCGAGGCACGAACCCATGTCCCCTGCATCGGCAGGCGGACTCTCAACCACTGCACCACCAGGGAAGCCCAAAAGGGATATTCTTTACTTCAGCCACACAGGGAAGATACCAAATTTCAAGTTAATGTCATTATACCTCTCAGAACTAGACCAAAATATTGTTTTTTATTTTCCAGTGGGTTCTAATTCTAAGTTCTGCTGCACCAAGCTCACTTCTGCTTTGAAGATTTTAACTCTAAAGCGGGGAGCCATATTAGAAGAAAATATGAAACAAGGTAACATTCAAGGGGCTGGCAGAGCAACAAGACAGAAGGAACCTGGGCCTGGACAACTTGGTCTGGCAGATGGGTCTCTGCTGCTGACCTCCTGCCTACCTCTGGACTGTTACATAAGAAAGAAATGAAATACAGCTATTGTCCTTTTTGGGTTTCTTTGTTTCAGAAGCTTAGATTAATTGCAACACTCCCAAATCTCTCCCCAGCCAGAGAAGGCAGCTGTTGCTTACTGAGGGCACGAGCTCTCCACGTTCCATGATGTTTCTGATCAATTTGCTTCTTTCAGATTCTGATGACAGCTCATTCCGCAGGAGCTTGCCAGTCGAGAGATGTGTAAATCCGTATTTTTCCACCAGCTTTTCACACTGTGTGCCTTTGCCAGAGCCTGGGCCACCTAGAAAAGAAGTCGTGTATCAGACATCCATCCCAAATCCGGTGCCTCATTTTGGGCTATAGTCTCCATGGTGAGCAGGCCTCAGTGCTTCATCCACCAGCATGGACTGAACAGTGATGATTTACTGGGAGCATGTCCAGAGCTGTGGATACAGTGGAGAATGGGACACAGACCTTGCCCTCAACAAGCTTACTGTCCATGGACGGCAGATGGTATTGTAGACAAAACACAGCAGTCACTATAGGTGGTGTAGTGGGGAGGAGTTCCAGCTGTTACAGGGGGCAGAGTAGGGGTCCACAATCCCAATTTATTAGACATGCATGTCAGAGAAGTTTCCTGGGGCACTGAATCCGCTCATAAGCAAAGCACGGGCCACATTGCCTGATACACTGTGAATGTTCAACAAATGCTAGCCATTACTTTTTTTTTTTTTTTTGCGGTACGCGGGCCTCTCACTGTTGTGGCCTCTCCCCTTGCGGAGCACAGGCTCCGGACACACAGGCTCAGCGGCCATGGCTCACGGGCCTAGCCGCTCCGCAACATGTGGGATCTTCCCGGACCGGGGCACGAACCTGTGTCCCCTGCATCGGCAGGCGGACTCTCAACCACTGCGCCACCAGGGAAGCCTGCTAGCCATTACTTTTAAAATAAATTGTTTTCAAATTTATGGTTACCAAAATGGCAAGAGGAGGGGGATAAATTAGGAGTTGGGGATTAACATATACACACTACTATATATAAAATAGATAACCCACAAGGACCTACTGTATAGCACAAGGAACTAGACTCAATATTTTATAATAACCTATAAGAGAAAAGAATCTGAAAAAGAGAAGATAAATATATAACTGAATCACTGTGCTGTACACCTGAAGCTAGCACAACATTGTAAATCAACTATATTTCAATAAAAAATTTGTTTTCATTTTCAAACACAGACCTACAGAAGAGTTATGAATACAAAGAACTTTCTGAAACATTTGAGAATCAGTGGCCAACCTGATGCCTCATGGCTACAGAACATTTTAATGCCATTTCCTCCGGACAAGGAACCAAACACATCCTCCTAAATAACTCCATCTTCAGACCCCATTCACATTTCAGTGGAGTTGTCCCAGTCATCTCAATAATGTCCTCTGAAGCCGATGGATCAAGTTCAGAATCACGTGCTGCCTTTGGTTGTCATGTCCTTTTGCTCCTTCTTCCCGAAGGAATGGTTCCTCTGTGTTTCCCTGACACTTTTTGAAGATTATAAATAGTCATTTTATAGAATGTCCCTCAATATGAATTTTTCTGTTGTTTTCTAGCTATTATTGCTGATGATCTCCCATAGTCCTTTGATGAACATTACATCTTGACTCTTTCCTTGCCCCTCCCTAAGTTCAACTAGTTGCTAAGTTGTAAGCTGTTACATCTTGAAAATAATAATAGCTAACCTTTGCCAAGTGCTTACTGTACTGGTCACTGCTCTAAGCATTTTGTCTATATTAATTTTAAATGATCTTAAGAGAGGCAGACACTGGTATTATTCCCATTTTACAGATGGGGAAGCAGAGGCACTGAGAAGTTAGCTGCCTTAGGTGGCAAGAGCAAGTAAGTAGCAGTCTAGGATTCGAAGCCTGGACTCTGGCTCTCAGAGGTGTTCCCACCTCTCGTGGCTGCTGCGCCCAGATTCACCTCCATGGTTCAGGTCCTTATGCTCTCGGTGTACAGCAGCCATCCTGCCTCTGCGTTGGGCAATGGGTGAGGCTTTGAGGTCCAGCAGACCTGCTAGCAGGATGATGTGCCTGAAAAGCATGTCACCGCCCAGCTCAGAGCATTCAGTGGCTTGCCATTCCTCACAGAATGAAATCCCAACTCCTTAGAGTGGCATTTCTAGCTTCTAGAATCTAGTTCCATCCAACCACTCCAACATTTTTCTTCATTTCTTATCCTCACCGAACATTGTTATGTCCAACTGTAGACTGTCCCTTCCTCAAGACATACTTCTTAAAAAAACTTTACTTTGAGATAATTGCAGGTTCACATTCGTAAGAATAATATAGAGAGATCCCATGTATCCTTCACCAATTTTCCCTTGTGGTGACATCTTGCAAAACCACAGCACAATATCACAACCAGAATATTACCATTGATGCCATGAAGATATAGAACATTTCCATCACCACAAGAATCCCTCATGTTTTCCTTTTATAGCCACACCTACTTCTCTCCTACACACAACCCCTCCATCCTTAACCTCTGGCAACCACTAAATCTGTCTATAACTATGTCATTCTGAGAAAATTATATAAATGGAACCATAGACATCAAGATATGCTTTTCCAATGTGCTTTTGCTATTCTCGGGTCCTCAGCCTGGAAGGCTTTTGCTTCCCCCTCTAACTATCAAGGTCCTCTTTATCCCTTAGGCCCAGACCCAGTGCTGTCCCCTTCTGGCATCAGCTTGCCCCCCTCACCTCCCTTGGGGTGAGTGATGTAACCAGGGCTTGGGTGACCTTGGCCTTGTCTTATGCTTGTTCTATGTCTCCCACTCGACTTTCTGCCTCACAGTGCCTATAGCACAGCACCTGTACACTGTAGGTGCTTCTTAATGCCTAGAGGATTCCCTGTTAAAAGGAAATATTGAACTGAAATGTAAAACACAGCTGAGGTTTTTAGCATAGCAATGAGGATTTACGACTTGTTCTGCAATTTTCCTGGCTGGCCTCTCTTCATATTCAAAACTCCTTTCTCAGAACAACTGGCAAGACCCCTCATGAGGGGCATTAGTTGTGGTCCCTCATCAGTAGAAGGGCCTCTCACTCCCTCTCCTGTGCCTTGGCAGGAAATCCAGGAAAGGTCCACGTTTTCTGACTTCTGCTCATCCGTACAGCTGCTCTCAGCCAAATGGGGTGGGTTCAGACCCCTCACAGTATTGTCATGGATGGCCTAGATGTAGTAGGAAAACAGCAATTACAAAGGCTTGCAAAAACAATGCAGACCATCTAGCAGGAGCGGCCGATTGCCGGCTGATGCTACGTTTGCTCCAAGCACTGTGACTCCTGTCTCCTGAGATAATGGAAATGGAGAGTGGAAACAAGCGAAGGCCACTCAGGGGAGAAGGCTAGGCTCCTGCAGCGGCCGGATTTACCTAGAAACTCTTTTGCTGGGATGGCTGGAAACCAGTCACATGGGAAAGATATTTTCAGACTTGGTTTACAGGGCAAAAATGCTGCGTTCCAATTATTTTCCTCCTTCAGCAACCTACTAATATGACTATTACAGTTTTTGCTCCTCTAAAATGTTATTTAATAAATCTCAACACAAAGGCAATTAAAAATCTTCAGCTCAAATTAACCGCAGCTGTGTGTGAAACGGCAGCCACTGCCCCAGTTAGAAACCTTTCGAGGGAGCGACAGCTGCAAATCCTTAACATTCTTGGGCAAACGGCGCAGGCACAGCGGAATTTTAAGTAATCTACACAATGGTTTGATTCTTCCCACGGCTCCAAACCCGAGAACAAAGTGATTATTATCACTGCCGTGAAGGCACAAAAACTGCTAGGAGATGTATGAATTTTCATACACTGTCTCTGACATTTCTTTGAGGCCTTCACTTATGACTTTTAAATGAAAAGCAATGGAGCCTTGATATCCTTCTGGGATAATTTGTTACATGGGAAAAACTCTTTCGAGGTGCCACATATCTGAACAAGTGGGCTGTGTTCCCGGGTGACGAGACTGCTGACAGAGATGAGTAGCTGTCACATTTACTGTCATCTCACTGATTTTTCCTGTACCACTACTCAAGGCTCAAGCCCTGAACAAACCTATACACAATACTGCGTGCTGTGATTCACAGACAGCCTGGGGTAGGAGGTTCCATTTCGAAAGGGTCTGTCAACCTTCAAAAAAAAAAAAAGTGAAAATTCTTTATTCTCAACCAACGTGATTAAAATTTTTTTCCATGTGAGGCCAAAGGTGCTATATTGTGAGAAGTGTAGATACTGTGAACGTCCAGCTCAGTGCATCTCTTCCCTTAATGCTGCACCGAAGGAAGGGGAAGAAGAGCCTGCAGGAGATTTGGGAGCCCAGGGTCCATGGCTGGATTCTCCCTCGCGCATTCTCCTTGGTACCTGGTGTTCTCTGAGGTGGAAGTGAAACAAGGTGCATCACCTGAGCATGCCCGCCTGAGCCACATTTTCCAGCGTGCTTCTTATCTTCTGGGGCAGTCCTCTCAGGGGACAGCTCCTGGATTCATTAGCTAGGCTCTGCAGGAGAAGACCTGCCTCCTATATGACTTTGCAGGGTGCCTGGCCTCAGGGCGAAAATAACAAAACGGCAAAGCTGGTCTGTTAGAGCACATTCTGCGCTCAGAAAGAAAGCCCAAGTAAATACTGATGTCAGGTTGATAATTAGCTGGATCCCAAATACAAACAAATGCATGGAGGTAAGTTTCTATTACACTTAACAGTGTTTTGAATAGTAATGGTGTAGAGCAGGCTCTAGTGTCCTTGGCTGACATTTTATTGTATCTTGTTAACTGTAGGATGCAACCTGGAACTAAGCATGAGGCCTATTAATACTGCTCTTCATTTGACAAACATCTGTTGGGCAGCTACTGGGGTCAGACACTGTGCTAAGAGCTGGGAATCAAAAGATTCAGAGGCCCTGTCTTCCAACAGAGAACTCACCCTCTAAGGCGAAGCCGACAGGTGAGCCCAGCATCACAGCAGTGTGAGGGGGCTACAAGCCAGGCCTGTCAACACCACTGCAGGGGCGCTGGGCGGGACTCCTCGCTCAGACAGGGGAAAGCACGTATGATTACCTTTGCTAACACCGGGGAAGTGTGGAAAAGAAGAGCAGAAGGCTGAGCTTGGTTTCTTCAGCAAAGTGACTTGGAACGTGAAAAGGTCTTGCAGAGAACTGTGGGACAGGGAGCATGGTGTACTGGGAAGGGCACAGGACAGATGGGTCGAGTAATAACCCCTGGCTCTACCACTTACTAGTCCAGTGGTTC